AACCGGCTGAATCCCACCACTGCATACATTTCTATGAATCTTTTATTGCTTTGACATAACATATTACCAACTTTCTTTTTTTATGAAGAGAAATGTGTTACATAAAATATGGTAGTTGAAGTTGATTATTATTTTAAAGTAGGGGTTGAAGTATTACACACATAAAATGCATAAATATTTTAAAAACTGTCAGAAATATATCAAATTTAAGTTGTTCTGAAGTTACAAAACTGAGTTATATATATAGCCCAAAGTGGGGAAGAATGGAGTCTTGATAAAGGTTGTTCATTTGGCTAGGTTATTAACCAATTTTTTCTCTCTCTCTCTTACTGCTTTTTTTACATATTTTGTATATTCTGTTTTCACTCTGTTACTGAATTTTTCTTTTTATGTGTTTAACGAATGTTCTATTTATTGCTTCATCTTTATGTAAAAGTTTTTATTAGCATAGAATAATTGTCAAAATTGGGATTAACTCTAATACTAGCCTTAATAGTTTTTACACACATTCTGTTAGGAATAAATTTCATATTTTTGTCCTTCCACATATTAGAAGTTATTGGTAATGTATGTAACTGTATTTTAAAGAAAATAACAGGTTGCTTGTTTAAAACATGTAAGAATAAAAACATTTAGTAAACTAGAACACTTGTGTTACTCATTTCTATCTAGATCTAGCTATTGGTGCACCATACGAAGAAAATGGTAGTGGAGCAGTTTACATTCACCTGGGATCTGCTCATGGCCTTATTACTGAAGCAGCTCAGGTGCATATACCAAATTTGTAAATCTTGAAATATTACTAAGTGTGATGAAATACTAATAAAAAAAAGCAAATTTAAAATTGTTGCTGCTTTGTTTTAGAAAAGTGAGTAGAGAATAATCATATTTGTATGGCTTGTGATGTCCAGTGTAAAAGCTTAGTGCACTTGTTTTTGTATTTATCTATTATACTGTAGTGGTATTGAAATTAATTAAAAAAATAATTGTGCTAAATATTAGGATATACTAAGGTAAAACTGAGTTAACTGAGAGCAGTGAGATTGGTCTGCGTAATAACAGAAGGTTCAACAAGATATTTATTACGAAGTAGTACTAAATCTTTGAGTAACTGGTTTTGTGAGAATGAAGTAAAAATATTAGGCACAATGTAAAATACAAATAAGCAGTCTTTATTAGTTCACAAACACAAACATGATGTGTGTACTTGCTTTATAGCACCAGGTGGTCACTTCTACTGGATCAGGTAACATCCTGTCAAAATTTACCTACGGAATGAGAATGACCATTCATGTGAGAAGCACTAGTCATTTTGAGTAAATTCAACATTACCTGTGACATAAGGAATATTGAATTTAAACAGTCTGGTAGATGATCTCAGCCTTATGAAGGCTGTAACCTTGAGATATCACCTAAACTATCATTGAAAGCCACTGCTACCTGCATTTTTGCACAATGTACAGCATTACAGCCATGCCTACCATGGACTGAACAATTGTGACTTCAATAGAATAACAAGGAACAAAGGCAACTAGAACAAACATTCATTTAATGATTTTCTTGACCACATGTTTATATACCACAGTAAAACAATACCTGTAAAAATGCTACCTAGTGGTATGATATGTTTAGAAGTTTACCTAACAAAGCAAACTAATAATAAAGAACTTTTTTTTCATTAGAAAAACTGAAGTGAAATATGAAAATAATGTAACTTTATATTGTAAGAAGATAAAGTTATTTATCAGATTCATTTTGACACTGCTTTTGTGTGACAGATGGTTATGATGTACAGTGTAGCACCAAACGTTAAGAGATGAGACTTAAAGTGCAATAATATATAGTTTTTTTAACTTTATCATAGAATCTTCCATATTAATGAACAATTTACTAAGTAATAGCCTATGATTGAGAAAAAAAAATCTAGGTTTCGATACACATGGTGGGCATAATACGGATAGTTTGTTGTGGAGCTTTGAGACTTTATTGTTTGATTATAGTATCAGAAAGCTAAAAGTTCATTTTCTCTAGGAATTATATCTAATCATGGTAAGAAAAATTAAAATGTTTATGTAGGTGCTGTCTCTAGGAATTATATCTAATCATGGTAAGAAAAATTAAAATGTTTATGTAGTTGCTGTCTAGCAATTATATCTAATCATGGTAAGAAAAATTAAAATCTTTATGTAGTTGCTGTCTTTAGCAATTATATCTAATCATGGTAAGAAAAATTAAAGTGTTTATGTAGTTGCTGTCTTGGAGTTATATCTAATCATGGTAAGAAAAATTAAAATGTTCATGTAGTTGCTGTCTTTAGCAATTATATCTAATCATGTTAAGAAAAATTAAAATGTTTATGTAGTTGCTGTCTTTAGCAATTATATCTAATCATGGTAAGAAAAATTAAAATGTTTATGTAGTTGCTGAAAAAGATCAAATGTGGTATGCAAGAAAACGAAAAACACAGAATAGCTTTAAATTGGGTGTGTTAGTTCAGATATGTATACGCAATAATAAAAATATGGTGTAAAATCTAAATTACAAAAGCATGTGACTTATTGAAAATACAGTCTTAAAGTCCTTTTGAAAGACCATTAGTGACAAAGTAATCAGTATAAATAATAATAATTTCCCCTTTAAAAATTGTTTAAAGTTAAATTACTTGAGTTTTAATTTGTTATATCTAGATTAATTATTAAAATAAATCAAATACCAGCAGAATATGATTGAATAAGATGGTTAGTTCAAATTGATGATTTTAGTTAGTTGGATATAATATATAATACCATTTATGAATAGTATGCATTTTATTTCTTGTTTTGGTTATAATTTCATAAAAAATTCTGTTTCTTTCTTCTTCCTTCTCTGTTTGGGTTGAGTGTTTAAATTGTAGAATCTATTTGATTCATCCTCTGTTAAGTTTTATTTTGAAGTTTTCATTCTTATGTTAGTTATTGATTTCTGTTTAATTATAGAAACAAATGTTTTACTCTTATTGCTGTTGCCTTTGCATTTTGTGTCATTCATGTTTTACATATAATAATTATGGCCAGACCAGTATAGCTTTTTAATTTGGTTTGATACATGTCTAATAAGATGCCACATAGTAGCAGGTAACAAATGTATGTACATGGATATTCATAAGTTAACTGGTTTTTGAATGTTTGAATATATTACCAAGGATAATTTAAAATGTGTTTTTGATTATACATTTATTTTTCTTATTATTTATTTGAACAAAATGATTTGGTAACTTTTTTATTTGATATATATCTTAACTAATTTAAAGTAATGCTGAAATACATCTTGGCTGTCGATGTACCTTGTGCTTATCAAATATTTCGGTGGTACTCATCCGAATATGGAGAAACATTTCATTTGTAATGTTGGCAAGAGACGCGAAGAGGATTTTATGTATGCAAAATATGTTTTTGACAAAGAACAAAACATTCTGACAAATTATGTAATGCAGTAACCCTTAGTCACTTGTAACTGAGTCACTGTTCCAATTTAGTATGATCATTTGAATGGTTTTGATTGGACAATTTACAGATCGTAATGAGCTGAGCATGGTCTAGTGGTTAGTGTGCTGGGCTGTTTACTGAAAGGTCATAGGTTGGAAATGTAGCAAATTATGTTAAGCACTCCTTACTCTTTCAGCTGAGAAGTTTGTTATTACTGTGCCAGTCTGTCCTTCTGTTAGGTTAAGAGTTAATTCCAACTGATTGCCCTACTTCTAGACTCAGTTCTAATGTTACATAAGGTATGACATTTAAGCTGAAAATATCAATACCAGATTATGAACCCCTTAATCATTCAACAGCAAGTATGAAAGCGTATGATGCTAAAATCTGGGCATTGATGACTGTGGCAGACACAGCACACATAGTCTATTGTGTAGCTTTTTGCTTAAAAACAAGAAAACTTATCAGTGTCACCCTACTTTTAGTGCACAGTTCTAAATTAGGGATGGCTGTGCTTGAAACTATGGATCTCTGACATGGTTGTTTAAACCAAGTGTTACATAGGGTGTGACATTCATGTAGAAAATACCAATACCAGATTATGACTATGATTGTAATTATAGATGTCTCAAGAAATATCAGTCTTGTGTGTGTCTTTTCTTCTTTTTTTTTTTGGTATTATCTTGATTATCTGAAGTAGTTGGAAAAATGAAACTTTCTTTTGAAACTTGGTGGTGCTGAAGACTGATTTTGAGTTAAATGTTATGGTTTGAAGTTTACATTTTGGCATAAAAAACTTCTTTAAGTTACCAAAGAAAACAGTTATGAAATCTTATTATATTCCATGAGTAAAAATAGAAGAAAAATATTAGGACTCCGGTGCTGTTGTAAAATGTTTGTGCATAATTATGTAACAAAATGAGAAGTGTAAACATTTCAAGAACATACCAAGGTGTTTAACTTTAGAAATTTATTGAATAAGATTTTTAAAGATAAATTAAATTATCACTAATATTGCAATGATATTTTAGAATATTTTAAGTTTGATATGTAACTTGCTTGTTTCGAAAGATACAATTTAATACTTTTTGACAATAAGTTCTAAAAGTTACCAGTACATAAGGATTCAGATGCTTAAATTAATTTTCTTCAACCAGTTAAATGACTGTGAATAGGGGGGAAAGGTAAAAAAGAAACTGTTAATGTGAAATGAATGTTTTTTGTGGGAAATTTAGCAGGGAAAGACCATGTTAAATAATTGTTAACTACATTTTATGAAAGACAATATTTTATAGAGAAATTTTAACATTAGATATATCTATGTATAATTTTATGAAACAGTCTTAATGGATATACTATACGTATGTTGGTTTTGAGGAACCCAAACACAAAACCAGAGATATTTTTGTTTTAACCCTTATATTGTCACATCTAGGTCATCAAACCATCAGATTTTCCAAGAAAAGCTCTACCAAGGTTAAAATTAACAACATTTGGGTACTCTTTGTCAGGGGGGTTGGACATGGATTCAAATGGCTACCCAGACCTTCTCATAGGAGCATATGAAAGTGATGCTGTTATTTTACTGAGGTGAGAGAGAGTATAGAGAAACTCTTGATTTAGCTATATAAAGTGTGAGTATTTCTCTCATTTTAAACAAATATATATTGATTTTTAAAATTTTGTATTTGACATTCAGTTGCTACACATTATGAAATTATTAAAAAAAAATTATTTTTGCAGTTGAGGTTTTAACTGTTTAAAATTAAATTTATCAAAAGATTGTGATCTTTTTTTCTTTCATTTGTCAATTTTAAAAGTTAAATCTATGGTAATTTAAGTTTTTATTATTTCCTCAGTTTAGGTTTAAGCTCAATCTTTTGCACACCTGGCAAGTCCTCTACCAACAGAGTTAAAGGTTTAACCCACTAGAAATTGCTAGTATGAGACTTTTTAACAACTAACTCAAACTAATACATTCTTTCATTATCAAAAATAAAGCCCCATGTTTGGTGCCAGTTTTTTCTTGTGGTAATTCCACTTTTTGTTATTTCATTGGCTCCCTCTCTAATCTGATACCTCTGGCTCACCAAAAAAAGTGTTCTACGAACTGAACTCACCAACATTTGCTAGTAAGGCACTTTTTAACAACTCATTCTATCATAACTATTCATTTGTCACATATTTCATTTTATATTTCCTCTGTGGGGAAAGAACAATTAAGAGCCTTATTTTTCTTTAAGGTTTTCTTTTATTATACAACAAATGCTCAATGTGATTTAATTAATTTTATTTTCTTAACGAATATAGTTTCAAGATCATATATATATAGATAACTATATTGTATGTTTATTTGTATTATAAATGTAGATCACGGCCAATTATTGACATAAGAACAACTGTCACTGGTAACTTTACTCGTATTGACCCACAGAAATTGGGATGTGTAGAAGATCCCAAATCAGACCAAGTATGGTAAGTTCTTTTATCTTATCTATCTGTTGTACTAAACATGATTTGTTATTCTTTTTTAAATTAATCTTTTTGCAAATTTTTAAGGTGTTAATGGCATTAGCATTCTTTTGTGCCTACATTTTGAAAAATTGCATTATTTTACAAGTATTTCTGCTTACTTTACAAATTTGGTATACATGCATATTAATTACAACTTTTTCGAAACATACATACCTCCTCTCACACTACATATAGCTTTATTCCAACAAAAGTTACTCTTCTCTGCTCATCTATAATATAATATAAGCTTACTTCAACCTTTATACCCTATTATACTGCCCATAGCTAAGTTAAATCTTGTGATTCTCTCCACCTAAGTCAGTGCGCCCCTATTCCAGATCCGTATATAAACTCCCTGTTATTACTTCCTATTCACCTTTTTCGATAGCAGAATGCTATGATGACGGCTTTTTGTGCTTGCTGTTGGTTTCTCTTCAGTGTTGAATAGCTTTAGTTATATTTACACTTTAGATGATTTCTTTTTTTTTAGAACTGTCTTATTGGGTCTTGAGTTTGTTGCCTATTTTCTTTTATTTTACATGCACGCATGCACATATATAAATTATTTCAGAGACATTTTCGGGTATGAATTCACAAATTCATGTCTCTGACATGGAGTCACCTAGTGGTCCTACTTTGCCACCTTTGGAATTTAGCATTACCCAGGCATCGGGGGGAGGGCCCCTTTCTGTGGAAGATTTCCAGTCCCTCATATGCTGAGAAGTGGAGTCTTACATGGTATCTGATGTTTTTTCTCCTGTCAGCTCAGAGGCTGAGCTTGCAGGGGATCAGGGGCGGACTGGTGAGAATTTGGAATCTATCTTTTCGGCACCTTCATTTGCTCAGACAGCTAATACGAGCCTAAGATGGACATCCCACTTCCTGCATCATTTTTACAACTAGTACATCAAGTTTGTAATCTCTTGGCATTTCTCCTATAGCATATGACTTTTCTCCTTCTTTGTTGGGGGAAAGGCATTTGGTTGATTGCCTGCTCTTTCCACCTTTGCCAGACATTGCTGTGCATACAAGGAGATATGCTGATCAATTGAGAGAGAGTGCTACCATGCCTTGTCCTTCTCGTTTATCAGATCAGCATGCCTTAGCTTTCCATCTCTAGGAGAACTCATATTTGGTTTCTCAGAGGTTAGATCCTCTTCTTCCTATTTGGGGTTCTAGGCCTGATGCCACTATTCATCTTAATCAAACTCAGATTTCTCAAATTCGTCTGCCCCTCACAACAGTTTTGCATTTTGTATCTTCTTTGCAACTGTTGTTTGAGGCCTATCACAGAAGATCTAAGTCATTTATTGACTTCTACTTTGGTAAGGTTATCGTCTTCTGCTTTCTCCTTGGTCTCATGGTTGGTTTGTTGCTGGGATCTTTTGGAGAGAGATACCTTGTTTGAAGAAGTTCAGCTTTCTTCCTTGGCCCTTAGAGATTTCTGAGAAGCTCATTTTCTCAGACATTCAATTTTTTCAGGTATTCTGGATTCCATGGAATCTAAGGTGGATGTGGCCTGTTTCCACTTTTCTCTTTCGGCTCTAGCCTCTCACCTTTCCCAGCCTTCTAAGAGACAGTTTTCTGCATCTCCCATTAGGTTTCCAGATCTCCTGTGTCAGATTCATGTTCTATCGAAACACAAGTGGTGTTTTAACAGGGACAACATGACAATAGGTGTCCCTCTTCCATTCCCATGTCCAGAGATACATCTTTTTATGGATGCTTCTGTCCAGGGATGTGGTGCTTGTATAGGAGATATGGAATTCAAGGGTCTCTGGACAGAAGAGAAATCTTCTCTCCACAACAATCACTTAGAGCTTCTAGCAGTTCAATGAGCTATATCTTGGGATCTTGCATTGTTGCAAGGGAAAGGGGTAATGCTTCACTCAGACAATTCCATAGTGGTCTCATACATCATTTCCAATCAAGGGAGGTACTTACTCCAGATCATTTTGTTTTCAAACATTGAATCTTCATTTTTGGGCCCACAATCATCAGATTGTTCTCCTTGCAAGTCATGTTCCAGGTGTAATGAATTTAATGTCCAATCAGTTATCTTGTCCCAACAGAGTTCTTCCCATGGAATAGATGCTTCATCCACACATTTTAAGTTAAATCTGCTCTCATCTTGGGATACCTCAGGTCAATGCTATTGCCACACACTAAAATGCCCAGCTCCCATCCTTCTGGTCTCCTGTTCCTAACCTTTGGGCTTTGGGTATGGATGCTCTCAGCCAGGATTGGATCGGTCTTCATCTTTACATGTTCCCCATGATTCGTCTTTTGTCCAAGTTCTTTTACTTATTCACTCCTCTTCCTGTTGAGTACTTCTGGTGGTGGTACATTGGCCAGTTCAATTTTGGTTTCTAATCCTTCAGTATTTTAGGGATTACCAACCTCTTCCACTTCCTCTCTGGCCATCTCTCTTACATCAGCCTTGGTTGGATATTTTTCATCTGGTGATCATCATTCTCTGACTTCATGAGGCCAGTTGCACGACGTCAGGGATTGACCTCTTGGGTGGCATCTTTTTTAATGCGGTCCACTTGGCATTCTTCTTTGGACATTTATGAACAGAAATGGCTTAATTATCATCAGTGGTCTCTCAGACATGGTTTTAATCCTTCTCGTCCCGCTGTGCTGCATGTTTCCTAATCTCTGACATGGTTATTTGACAAACGTTTGGGCTTTTGTCCATTTCTCTGTATAAGGCAACTTTGTCAGCTACTTTTCTTTTTGCTATGAGATGTAAAGTATTTGAGTCCCTGGTTTTTTTCCATTCTACTGAAATCTTTTGGGTTATCTCTCCTTGACGTTTTTTCCAGGTTTCTAATTGGGATATCACAGTGGTTCTCCATGCCTTATGTCATACACCTTTTGAACCTTTGGCATCATGTTTCCTATATCACTTTTCTCATAAGATTTATTTTATTTTGTTGTTGAGTAGCACACTTCGATGTTCGGATGTGTTTGCAATTTATGTTTACAGGACTCTTTACCATTTTAATTATGTTCTGTTGTATCCAGATAGGTCATTTCTACCCAAAACTTCAGCAGCTAGAGAAGGCAATTAGTCTTTTTCTCCTAATCATCTTTCCTCCATATGTCATTGTTATGACTGCTCAGATCTGGGTTGTCTTTTATGCACACACTGAAGAGTTTCGGGGTTCATGTTACCATTTGTTTCTCTATTAGAATCCTGTGATGTCACGTGTCTTATCCCTTGTCAGTTGGTTCATATTTCTTACTCTGGGCTTTTATTGAAGGAGCAGAGACTTCTTTGGGTCTCATTTCATCAATTTTGCCATATCTTGATGTCCCTTGGTGTCTTGGTTGCATTGCCCACTGGAGGAGATTGTACAGGCTGATATTTGGATCACACCTAATACACTTATATCTCATTATTTACATGATTTGGCAGTTGCTTTATTGTTTGGTTTTTGGTTACTCCCTGTGGCTGCTCTCTACATTCTGGCTAGGTTGTGAAAGACATGAGTGACTTAATTTCTTTGGGATAGACCTCTTCCAAAATAGTTGTAATGGGAGGTAGGGTTCTGAGTTTCTTAATAGACACAAGGTAGATAACATCTAAAATTGCTTGTCATGATCATTTTTTCACTTGTCTAGCAGTATTCATGAAGATATGAATATCATTAGCCCATAAACATTATCATTAAAATTACTTTTAATATAGACAAGACTACCCAATGTTTTTAAGGATTGCAAAAAAAAAGATGCTTCAAATTATAATTCTACATGTGATGAATGAATGACTTTATAAGTAAAGTTTGTCCCATAAAGACATTTTGTTACTTCTACAAATGTACAACAAAACAAGTTGATAAATACTTTCAACTTCTTCATAAACATTCGTGAGTACAGATACAACCTTGCCACATCCATGGCAGTTAACCTAATTTTGTAACTTCATTCATTGATGAAAGAAATTGGTTTTTAGATAGGGTGAATAAATAGTGTGTTAAGTTAAGTGTAAGTAAATTATTTCTATAAATATAAAATATACAGAAATATCAAAAATACACATAAGAATTATGCACAGTGCAAACTACTTTTGTTACATTTATACATCATTGTAGACTCATGTATCTACTTAAAATCATGTATGAACTGAAGTCGTATAAGGCTGTATAGCTTCTTGTATATGTAATTTTGAAAATTTGATGAGCTTTCATTAAAGTTGATTTTAAGTAGTAGTAGATTCATATTTCCTGGTTATTCTAACATAAAACTAAATGCTTGAGGTTATGAAAATGACTATAATGTAAATTCACTGTAGCCACTGTTTGTTTGCCCACCAGTGGCACAGCAGTATGTCTATGGTCTTACAATGCTAGAAACCAGGTTTCGATACAGTAGTGGAAAGAGCCCACATAGCCCATTGTGTATCTTTGTGCTTAATTACAAATAAACAAACAAAACCATTGTTTTTCCACTACAGACAAGTTATCAGTCATGACCAACTTTTGTGATTGACTGTTAGTTTTATTTTGATTATCTTAAGCACTTGATTGCTTGGAGTTATAAAACCTCACTTATTCCAGAGCCATTGGACTAAAACCAAGTTGGTTCACTTGTTTTAATTTGCATACATTGCAACCAGCAGTTTTTCTGACTGTGTTACTTTACAACCTTCATACAGTTTTCTTACTTTGTGACTTGCAGTAAAACATCTACTTATTGTTTTTAAAATAGTAAAGTTATATCAAAATCAAAAATTAACAATACGTGCTACCCTTCTATAGATCCTTAAGTATAATAGTTTTTTTTTTTTACTTTTGATTCATAAAAATCATATTTCACCACATTCCTCGAAGCAACGCTACAGGAATATATATCTGAATTTAGGCATAAAGTACTTTGGTTATTTATATAGAAAATGCATGAATGTTTGTGTTTAATAATTTGCTTTTTATTTCTTAATTAAATTGTCAGTCAGTGAATATGTTATCCCAACTTCATCTTCTTCATTTGGCTAGCTTATGACTTCAAACTGTCTTATGACCAGGTTCTGATCAAAACTTAGGTTAACATAGGAGATGAAGCCCTATCTCTAGTTTTCATATGGTAGATACTTTCAGAATGAATGATACTGAATGGTACAAAGATCCAACTCAGAATCCTTAACACATCAGCAGGTAGATAAGCAGATTAGAAAAGTAAAAATGATTTGAAATATTAAATGGTGTTCATGTAATTGCATTCTCAAAAAATAATTTATACTTTGTATTTTGATAACCATTCTGAAGACATGGAATATAAAAAAAAATGTATTCCAGAAATGTCTTTATTACAAAAAAAAAACATTTTTGAGTGCTCAAAAATTATGCTACTTAACAAAAATTCCATTTGCATTTGTTTGTACATTTAACAGTTATTTGATGCATTTTTCTTAGTTTTTTACTGATAGGTTTTAATATCTCAAGTTATAGAAAAAACAAACAACTTAGCTAATGTGTAAATATTTTACATTTTCTTTAATACCCCATGATGAGTAAGCTGTAATATATAAAATAAAGAATAAAAGACAACCTTAAAGCTGCAACTGTTACTCACCAGTTTTTCAAATTATAGTTTTTAGTTCTAATGAAGCCCCCCCTGTCATGGGCTTACAATGCAAAAAAATTGGGTTTTATATCTGCAGTGGGCAAATAGTTATATATATATAGCCCATTGTATAGTTTTGTATTTAACAAAAAACAAACAAGGAGGTCTAGTGAAAATAAAAAATAAAAATGATGACACTTTTGTACATCAAAATATTTTCAAATTTCATTGTAGCTGTCTTTTTCATTTGTATTTTTTATCATAATAGTTTTCCGTAAATGTACAGGGGGCACAAAAATGACAATGATGGTTTTTCCTTCTTCTTACATACTTGACACAGTTACTGAAATGTGAAAAAGTGTTGTATTTATTTAAAAAAAAGTTCAAGTTGATTGAATTTGTAATCTGGCTTTAACTCTCTCTGTCAATTTGACTGACCACATGACCTCTTTGTACTCGTTCAAAGTCTTTATAGATTTGATACTACTTTCTTTTAATATATTGTGTATATCTTCACAAAATTTGGCAATCTTTCAGTAAACATTGTAAGTCTTTCACATTCAAAAAAATCTTATTATTTAGTGAAGTA